CATGTCATGCTTGTGCAGCGTAGATACAGCACTCGCACCAAATTGATCAATCCTCGCCAGACACAAAAATGTGAAAGCATGCAAACTACACCACAATGATGAAGTACACTTGTGAGTGGGTTCTGCAGTGCATTGTCGCATTACGGTATCGTACAATGATACAGCCATGGTCTAAGATATTCTACAGTCCATTCCCGCTTCCCAAGGTCGATACACATAGGGGAAAAATTGTGGCACTCCTAAGTTCTAAGGAAAGACGGAGCAGTATTTTTTTAATTTATTTTTTACTAAGTACACAACCTACTCGTCAGAAGGGGAGAAGACAACAGAGTATACAATGACAAAACAGCAGGAAGAGTAGGGGCTGCAAAGCAAGCCTGTGCTGGTTTGGTGGACGTTCACAGTAGTTTTAACTGCTGCTTTTTGCATAGTCAGCATTATTCCCATTTTGGTGGCACTTTGGACATACCTGACAGCACGCAACGTATTCGAAAGATCACCGCCTGAGTTGCGTGCACTTGGTATAAGAATTGCCTGAGTACTGTTGACAATAGTCAGATTGGTACATGTACTGCTGATGGAGTTATCCAAAGATAGACTCTCTCCTAGTGGACAGCCACCTTCAATACTGTTGATTATGACAATGGCTTGAAGACCAGGTACCACTGGTAAGAGAATTACAACTTGAGGAGATACGAGTTGTGCTGGAGCTCCACCTTCAACAATAACAACATTGTCGATCTCCCCATCACCAGCACGGATAACAGGCGTACCAGCGGATTGCACAGTTATTGTGGAGATGGATGTTTCCACAGCTGATGTACCTCCATTATCAAAAACAGAAATCCGGAGGGATTGATCAAATGGTAATGTCTTTTGAGGCTCAGAGAACAAGTTGTAGTATCGCACAGTCCGAAGGACAGAACCATAACGATCCTCAAATTCCTTGCCAACAAGATCAATTGCAGTGTTGAACATTCCATTGCCATTGCCAATCTTGGTGATGTTGGGAGAGACAGAAGCAGGATCATTTACAGTGATGAAGGAACCGCAGCTTTCCACACACAAGACCTCAAACTGACTCAGTGTCTTGTTACTTAGAGTCACTGCACGCAAAGTACCAACGAACCGGGGATGTGTTGTCATTGGCCAGAAACCAAAGTAGATTCTCCCAGTGATACTTGTTCCACTATTAGCAGGCCTTGCTTGGGTACCAAGACTGGCACCATCCACAAACACAACAATGCTGTTGGCATCTCCACTCACTGCTATGTGGTGTGGAATGTTGTTATTTACAGCTGATGTTAGGACAAATTCGAGTGGTACATATATAATATTTCTTTCATTGGGAACACAGATGAATACAACAACATAGGAGTTATTAATCGAAACTGCAACCACTCCTGGAACAACAACAATCACTCCACCGTCTCGAGATGGATCCATTTCAAAGTAAGCTGCCACTGAAAACTCACTGAAATCCGATGGAAGATCTGTATTTCCAGCATCCAAAGATGTGTTCGGGCCTGTTTCAGTTGTCTGAAGAATTTGCTCACCATCAGTACATGCCGAACCGGCTAGAAGCAATAGATCAGTGGCATCAATTCCACACTTGCCGTACTTACTAATGTCAAATCTACAACCCAGTGTTGGATCACCTGCAACACAAACGGGCAGATTGTCACAGCGCCCACCACATTTGCACTCGCCACAACCTTCCTGGAGGCAAGCCTTCTCTGCTGCAGTAGTTGTTCCTGCCCTGACAAGAGCTTTGAAAATTCGACCATTCAAGTGGGTGCCGGAATCTGTTACTTCTGTATCGTTTTCCAAATGAGCACCAAAGGTAAAAGAGTTGGCATCAGTTGGTACAGGGTTGGCAAAGCATGGCACTTGCGCCAGGGATAGGTTTAACGTGATAGATAGTGTCCCATCCAGAGTGAGAACAATTGCATCAGGCTGAAACTGAGCTTGGACTTCATGTCTTCCTGTTTGGATATTCCCTCCTAATGGACCAAAGTCAAAAACGCCACCAGATTCAACTAGTATATTTAATGATCCGTCACAAGCACGATGAAAAGTCTCAAAAAATGCTTTTGATCCTGCCTGTCCGACTGCAGCGGCTTGAGCAATTAGACCATACCGCCAATCGAGTGCACGTCCCTCGCTAACAAGCACACCACGTTCCCTTTCAGCACCTTCTTCAAAGGCAAGTTCAAATTCAACATCAATTTCAAAACTATCTGTGTTGGTACGAATACCAGGCTTGTGAACCTCAGCTACTCGTCTCTCATCGCCCAACATTCCACCAAACAAGAAAGATGTTCCATCAAACGCTCCTGGAGTATGTGCAAAGTGCAACAAGTTTGAGATTCCCACTCTGAAAGCCAGAGCTCGCACTTGTCCTCGGAAGCACTGTGCATTATGGCAACCAATGATCAGACCACTATGGTTATTTGGTAAACCATCGGGCCGTTGAGAAGGAAGAAGTACGAATGGAGTCTGTTGTACATTGTCGACGTGAAGACGGAGTTGGGGGAATCGCAATTCGAGTGCAAAGTTGTGCCAAAGCCCATCAAACAAGTCGGCAGATGGATGGGCAACTTCAAAGGTTTTCCTCGCGCCATCAACTGTATATGAGACTGCAATAGCTCCAGTTGGTCTTGGTTCCACAGCGAAGGTAACATTACCAGAATTATCCAGGACAGTTATCAGGTAGCCAAATTTGGTTGTGTTGATCCTAATGCAAGTGGAGAGTACAAAGCCCTCGACGAGGCTGGCCTGTACTTCAGCCATACTGACTTTATTAGCTAGTCCATTGAAAGTGGCAATACCATTGTCAACAGGAACTGGGCCTGTCATCAGTGTCAGTAGATTGAGAGCAGTGATATCGGGACATGTGCCGAGTGGTGAGGCTGTGCAGTCACATGGAAGTGGAGAAGCCAAGCGCTGCGCAACAGCAGAAGTTCCTGGAAGATCAATGGTAAGTCGATCAATAGGGTGAATTGCATCATTATCCACAACAATAGCATTGGGCTGCAAACCAATTGGTCTGTTCTGGATTGTATATGTGTTGTTTATAATGTTTCGCAACATTGGAACATTATCATTCAAGTCCAGTAAATTCAATGTAACTGAAGCCGTATCAGTAAACATTGAATCGTTCACGAATGCTGTGAATGTGATGACAGGATCAGTTTCAAAGTCCAGGTTGGTATCAATAATTGACAGAACACCAGTAACTGGATCCACAGACACACTCGTTGGCTCGCCTTGAAGACTGAATTTCAGATCATTAAGTGTACCATCAGCATCAGTAGCAATGAAAACCAACACATTTGTAATTGCAGTTGTCTCGTTGACAGTAGCAGTATACGAATCTGGACCAAAAACAGGGCCATTATCGTTGACATTGGTGACGTTCACAGTTAGAGGAAACGATGAGCTACGGGGTGGTGTTCCAGTGTCGTTGACAAACACAGTGGCTGTATGCATAGTTGCTGTTTCAAAGTCCAGACTAGTGACCAGGGTAATGACGCCCTCGTTATCAATATCAAACAAAGGTGGAGAATCCTGTTGAAGAGAATACCTGAGCTCATCTCCATCGTTATCAATTGTTGGACAACCAGTGTCTTTATCATCAACAGATAGCGCAAGTATAGTTGTGCCTACAGGTGTATCCTCTGCAAATGATTCTGTAACAGCATTTGGGACAGTTGGAGCAAACTCATTCACGTCATTGACTGTCACAATCAGCTGGCGAGTTGCAGTCAATCTTCCACCAAAGAAACAATCCGTATTAGCTCCAACACCATCTGTAGCTACAACTGTCAAGTTGTATTCACAGACACTCTCATAGTCTAGACCAGTAGTGGTTGAAATTTCTCCCGAAGTCATATTAATTGAGAAGAGGCCAGAGAACGTGTCCACGAGGCTGTATTCAATCACATTGTTAGGGGGGAACACATCATCATCGACAGCCATGATGGTCGTCACAGAGACACCAAGGAAGCTTTCATCTACACTCACACCAGCATTATCAGTGAATCTTGGAGCATTATTATTGGCTTCCACGACTGTGATATTGAGAGTTGCATATGCACTGAATTCTCCATCAGATACTCCCATTGGAATTGTAATGGATGGATGAAGAAGACAACGGGGGACAGCACAAAGTTCGCCGTCACACGAAGTCACAACACCCGTTGTGTTGTCAATTCCAAAGACATCACACACAGTCATTTGGGTGTCCATTCCTGGTCCACTTCCTGGAGCTGCTGTACCCTCCAACTCGGTCAACATTCCATCGACCGACAAGCCGAGATTCAATGACATATTAGGGCAGATGAAGAAGAATCGCAGGTCCTGTACTTGATTGATGCTGTCGGCATCTGTTGCAGAGATGCTACTGGTGACAGTGAAACCTCTTGCACCTTCTGGTGCACAAGTGTCATATTGCACTTGTGTAAACACAGGTGCATTGTCATTGACTGGAATTGTTGAAAGGAATGTTTCCAATGGTGCAGATGTTCCACCGAATGGATTAAGTGGAGTGATGGGCCCTGCCATGCTATCTCTGACGACAACAGAGATAGTCCGCTCTCCATTCAACGGCTCATCAGCTATGTTGACGTACTCTATAAGCTGAATGGCATTGCTGGTTTCCATGAACGACAAACCACCGATGGCTAGGTTATAGACATGGCTTGTCATATTGTAATCAGTAAGATTGAAGGAGCTTCCTAGCCCAAATCCCTCGGCTATTGCCAATCGTTCACCTTCATTCCTGATTCCATCCAGTCGAACTGTTACTTCTGACACTGATGCCGAATTATCATCGGTCACATTCGATTGGAAGACATTGGTTGTCCGAATTGTGGCCTGGGATGCTTGCTCAGTCGCATTCATGCTCCTCGGTGCTGGTGGCTCAAATTCTGGAGCATCGTTTGTGCTGATCAGGTTAATAGTCAGGGCTGATAGCCGACTTGGACTCTTCCCATCATGGGCTGTGGCACTAGCCGTTCTTCTACTTCCTGTGAATTCATCATTAGTGTTGATATATGTGAACGATCTCAGGAATTCCGAGTAGTCTGCTTTTGGTGCATTAGGTCCTGACGCAGGCTGGGCAGTGATAGTGCGCATAACCCTCATACCGCCCGTGCTTACGTCATCAGTCGCCACAGTCAAGCTGTTTGGAGCAACAAAGTTGATAACATCTTCACCGGGGTATACACTGTCAAACACAACTGTCAGATTTGCTAGTGTGTTGAACTCCACATCAAAGATCTGTGCATCAGGAGTGAGGTAGATTGCCTGCACTGATTCCTCTACAAACTCCACCGTTTGGTCTAAGCCGAGCAGTAATGGTCCGTTCAAATCGACGACAGGGCGATCGTTGACAGGCTCCACAATTTGTGTTATGACTGTACTCCCAGCAGATATCGGTGAACTGGGTCCAAAGTCTGTTACCATCACTCTTCCCGTGTCGCCAGCTGCAGAGAATACCAACATGCCAGTGAAGTATACAATGTCAGCTCATTGGCATTTACTAGTAATATTGCGAGTCAGTGTCCTGTCGGAGGCTGTGCACCCCCTGAGACCTGTGAACACTGGGGTGTGCACCCGTGCACGGTGCTAGCTTGACTCACGCGATGGAATCTCATTGAGCAGCAGTGCGTATGGGTACTTAGTTGTGTGTCTATCCCCATACACGCCTACACTACAGCAGTAGTTTGATTATCCGTATGACAGAACGCCAGGAATGGGTCCAGCTAGTAGGTTTCATAAACTATACCCGGGACCAAGCTCAACCATACAACAGGAACAAGACATGTCACTGATAAGCACCGGTGATGTTTGCATGCATACTGTCTATTCTGAAGAACACATCATCACTTGGATGCATACTTTTAATCTATCATGCTATGTTTTGTGTGTGCGTGTGTGTGTGTGTGCCACTTTCCTACCATCCAGCCGCCTGTCTGCCTGTCTGTCAAGTCTCAATTGTAGAGTGTCGTGGCCCACAGTGACGGCAATATTTCTCCAGCCCCAAATCTACTTGAATGAAAGGCATTGCTGGGAAGATGGTGTGAACGTGACTAATAAACTTCACTATGACCTCACAACGCAGGATTTGCAGACGTTTAGATGAACTCAAACGGGTCACTCCTTACCGGGAAAGCTGGAATCGTCATAGGCCCATGCTTCAATGGTTGCGTTTCCATTAGCGTGAAGTTCTGGGTCGAATAGGATTTGAAGAGGTGGGCGAAGCACTAAAAACTCATTGGGCGCTAGTTCAAAAGAAATGTTGTTGATAACTGATCCATTGGGGCTTGAATACTGGCAGAAGAAACAAAACAATTTACACAAAGAGAAATTAGCAACTTTTGACGCGGCATGGAGGTTTTACAAGTGCTATGAAAACGACAAATTCGCATTATCTACAGTTGTGCTGGGTGAAATCCGAACCAAGGTGCAAAGCTGATGCTTTCTGACCAGTTTCGATTACACCATAGTATTTGTACATGTGCACATCCAGCTGCATTCGTGCCACTTCCTGGGTGGTCAAGGGCTGTGCAAGTTGAGGGGCGCCAAATATGCACTCTGGTTCGGATTCCGCCGAGCGTAATTGTATCTCACTTCACAGTAATGTGTGCGCATGCGCACTAGCTCACATGCATAGCACAAGAGAAATATCTGTGGCTGGAAAAATGGAGATTGGTACGACTGCATAGCCTTGGGCAAGCTGCTTTGTTTCCCATGAAATCAACTACACGATACATATCCTGAAGAAGGCTAAGGATGACAGCAGGCAGGGGAAGAATAATGGCTGTTAGCTCTAAATGGGACATGAAGTCCCCACATTTCAGTGGCGGCGAGCCAGATATCCAGGATGCGTGCATATGCGCATGTGCGTATGCATGCAAGTGTTGTTTTTTTCGCTTGTGCACGTGTGAGTATTTGTGTGTGTGTGTGTGTGTGTGTGTGTGTGTGTGTGTGTGTGTGTGTGCGTGTGTGTTGTGTGTGTGTGTGTGTGTGTGTGTGTGTGTGTGTGTGTGTGTGTGTGTGTGTGTGTGTGTGTGTGCATGTGTGTTGTGTGTGTGTGTGTGTGTATGTGTGTGTGTGTTGTGTGTTGTGTGTGTGTGTGTGTGTGTGTGTGTGTGTGTGTGTGTGTGTGCGTGTGTGTTGTGTGTGTGTGTGTGTTGTGTGTATGTGTGTGTGTGTGTGTGTGTGTGTGTGTGTGTTGTGTGTGTGTGTGTGTGTGTGTGTGTGTGTGTGTGTGTGTGTGTGTGTTGTGTGTGTGTTGTGTGTGTACATTATACGTGTGTGTGTACATCATACATGCACATGCCACTTGCATCAAAATCAATGCTTTGCTGAACACACCTGGAATACTCCGACATTGTTTGTTACAGCATTGCGCAGCGCAATGGCCAAGCGACCACCATCATCGTCATCATCAGAACTGATATTCGCCAGAAGGTTTGCAACAGGTGTTGGTACTGGACTGCGAAGGGGGGGGGGGGGAGAGAGAGAGAGAGAGAGAGAGAGAGAGAGAGAGAGAGAGAGAGAGAGAGAGAGAGAGAGAGAGAGAGAGAGAGAGAGAGAGAGAGAGAGAGAGAGAGAGAGAGAGAGAAGCAAGTAACAGATTCTTGTTTAGTAGACTGGTACTGGAAATGTCTCCATCCGCAAATATGACATTCTTCCACTGCAGTTTAGAGCTCGGATGTTGAGCCAACAATGTGCCCCTAACATTTTATAAATACAGCCCGGAAACCATAAGCAGAGATGGAAAATTTGGTATTGCTCGAAAGTTACGGCAACATTATGGTAATATGCACGACTGACTGTCCTAGCGACGGATGAAGGCAAAATACTCAGTGCAGGATTTTGGCCGGCAACAATTAGCCACACCGTCCGTAAGTGGCGCTTTGCCGACGGTACCAACGTGACTGAACGTGGTGGTGATAGTTCCTCGTCATGATCATGTTGTCTATGTCTTCCCTCAACTTGCATGCTACCCCATTCTACCCCAGATCAGAATCCGACCTAACGCTGATAACCATGAATTGTCGGTCTCTCGTCAATAAATTAGCTGAACTTTCGATTGTTCTGGAGAGCACTAAGCCAAGTATTGTTTGCCTCACGGAGACCTGGCTGTGCCCATCTGTTTCCGTGCATGTACCGGGCTATTCCTGTTTCAGAAGAGACAGACCAGCACACGAGAACAGAAATGCACACTCTTTCACTAGAGGATATGGTGGTGTCGCCGTGCTTGTCCGGACTGATGCTTTTCAACATATTCTCCACAGACCCGACCTGCAGCGTCAGGGCTGTGAATCTACCTGGGTGGAAGTTAAGTCTCAATGCATCCCTAACCCTATTCTTGTATGTTGCATGTATCGACCCCCTTCCCAAACGGCGGAACAATTGTCCTTCTTCTCGGATATGCTGGTCGATGCTATACAGTCCTCTTGCTATGACGAGTGTGACTTCTTCCTGACGGGGGATTTTAATGCCAAACATAATGATTGGTGCTCTTCTGACTCCACCTCTACAGCCGGTACCAACCTACAGACAGTTTTCTCAATGCTTGGGCTCCAACAACTAGTGAGTTTCCCAACATACACTTCATCAGCGGGTGCCAACTCATGTCTTGACTTGTTGGTAACCAACAAACCCCGACATGTCCTCTCAGTCGACCACGCAGCTCCTCTTGGCACATCTGATCATCTGCAGGTTGTTTGTACGCTCAACTATGCATCGTGCTCGACACCACAAGCGACTGCTAAATCGTCCCTCCATCCCCAGGCTCAGTACAGGTATAAACAAGTGCCTACCCGTGTCTGGCAGGTTGTGAATGAAGACTTGTCTAGGTTGGACTGGTCATTACTTCATCGGCATTCTGATGTTGATGATGCCATTGTCCTGTTTGATGCTTTACTACAGTCAGCATTCCATCGTCATCTGTTGCCTTACAAAGTTATTCCGCGGACAGGAGACTACATTAGGCCTCGTCCTACTATGCGGGATGCATCCCGACCCTGGATCACTCCGGACCTCAAGTGTGCTGTGAAACTGAAGCGAGATTTGTATAGCATTTATAGGAAGTATCCAACCAGTGAAAACTTCATTGCCTTTAAGCGCAAGCGTAACGAAGTGAAGTGTTTGTCACGTACCCTCCATCGTCAGTATGTACAGTCGGTTCATGCCACCCTGTCTTCCCATGATCGCCCTAGTCTCCATCAATTTCTCCGCCATCTCCGTAAGAACTGTAGTCGGGAGCCGATCCGATCAATGACAGCTTCAGACGGCACGGTAGCAACAGATCCCGCAGACATAGCAGACATATTGAACACGCAGTTTACGTCGTTTGGACTTCCTGACGACCCTACGTGGCCTATACCACCACTCACCCCTTCACCCTCAATACCTACGTCCCTCCTATCATTGTCGACTGGTACAGCCCAAGTGAGGAAATATCTCTGTAATCTGAAAACTGGCAAGTCCCCTGGTCAAGACGGAATTACCAACGAAGTTTGGAGAGCTCTTGCTCCGTCTGTTGCCTATCCTGTGTCAATTATCTTGAATATGTCATTTCGTGAAGGGAAATTCCCAGCCATGTGGAAAACTGCGGTAGTCGTGGCCACCTACAAAAATAGAGGACCACGCACCACCCCCAGCAACTATCGCCCTATCTCATTGCTCTCTACTTTATCAAAAGTGTGCGAACGTGTTGTATATGACATCATTTATGATCATGTTCGCATTTCACTTTCGCCAGCACAGTCGGGCTTTTGTCGGGGTGACTCCACCAGGTACCAGGTTACCCGCCTCGTGCAAGACATCCACACCGCCCGGAACGCCCATAACCATGTTGGTTTAGTTTTCTTCGATCTCGCAAAGGCCTTCGACACTGTTTGGCACAGGGGTCTCTTAGCTAAGCTGCGAATAGTATATCGCATTGATGGCAAGGCTATCGGCTGGCTCTCATCGTATCTCTCTAACCGACATCAGCTTGTACGCCTCTCAACTGTGTTATCGGAGCCTTTACCCGTTACTTCTGGAGTCCCCCAGGGTTCAATCCTTGGGCCACTGCTATTTCTCCTGTATATTAATGACCTCCCCGATATTGCCCCTGGTGTCAGCCTTTTCGCTGACGACACAGCTCTGCTTTGCTCCAATGCTTGCCCTATACGCCTGCACGAAGCCATGCAAGATAGCATTGGGAAAGTTATAACCTGGATGCATGATTGGAAGTTGCAGCCAAACGTTGATAAAACGGCAGCAATGTACATTTCCCCTTCTCCCCCTTCCCTGCCACTTTGTTTTCCTTCTTCAAGTGTTGCTATTCGTATTGTTGAAGAGCATAAGCATCTTGGCGTTATCATTGACTCTAAATTGTCGTGGTCACCCCATGTGCAGTATGTCTGCAAGCGCACAAGCTCCATCCTTGGGGCTCTTCAAGCCCACTGTAGACATCTTCCTCTTTCTTGCAAACGCTTGTTTTATCGTTGCTATATATTGCCCTTACTTGACTACTGTGATACTGCTTGGTCTGGCATAACTACTACTGTATTGAACAAGCTAGAAACCCATAACCGCATGCTCCTTAAAATCTTATTTAGCAAAGATCGTCGCTTTCCCTCCGCTAGTCTTTACGAAATTGCCAAGATCAGTCCCCTTTCCACTCGACATAAGTACCACCTCTGTGTTCTCATACATAAAATATTACTAAATAAAATACCCTTGCATATGCAGTCTTATAATTGGTTCTCCGAAACACGGAATACCCGGAACTCACTCAGTCTCCCACGCGCTGCCTCCACCCTATTCACTAGATCCCCGATCTTTGCTGGCTATGTGTTTTGGGCAACATTACCAACGCAGGCCAAGACCAGCACGTCGATGGATAATTTTGTTGCTAAAATCTCTGCTCAATTATAGGTTTCATGTATATCCTGCTGGTTTGTCTCCTCCTTTGCCTTCTTTGCCTCTTATTTGTATTCTTTTATCTGTTTTACTGCTGTGGTTGGCTTTCACCCTTGTCTCAGTTTTATTGGCCGTCATCATGATGTGCCATGAGATAATGATATAAATACAAAAAAATAGGTAAGATCATTCATCACAGGACGCCATCTTTGCTTTCGATATTACTGTAACATTCGTACTGCTGCCTTATCATCCTCTTTTCGAACGTTGTCTGAAACTTCACCCTTCCATCGAAACCAATCTGAAAATGCGGAGCCTTTCTGATTGTTAGCACAGGCCGCAAAGATGTTAGCGTTTTGCTGGCACATGTACATGTTGGAGTACATGTATAGCGACTAGGTAGAATACCCTTGTGTTACCTAAGTATGCGTTGAAAGATTGGCAGGGTGGTAGATGTCTGGAGAGGCACGGTCCAAATTGTGAACGAAAATCATCTGACAGTACTACATGTGATGTTTTGCACTTGACTGATCAGTCATAAAACCATAAAAATCCTGACCCTGCCTGCAACGGTGCATTTTGCGGTTCGAACCCCAGTTCAGGTACCCTTTTTGGACCCTTTTTCAAATTTCAAATATCGCAGCACTGCACTGTGTACGATAACATCTTGAAAAATTGCCAAATACGGGAGCTCGCCAGAGCCAGGGCCCATCTTTTTGTGAATGGACTGTAGTGAAGTTACATAAGCACTGAGTAGACGGTCGGGACTGTTTTCTCCAAAGACCAATCTGCACTTGTGAACTGTCACTTTGTGTAGCATGAAGGTAAGTGGTGGGGGGGGGGGGGGGGGGCTCAAATCTCGACTGTACCTTGGCGAGTCTGCAGCCTGTGAAAATCTGTACAGAGATATGTTTGCTGGGCCCGATGAGACCATGAGTTGCGCCCCGCTTTCAGCAGACTGACCGGCATCTTCAAGAATGATTGGAAGGAGGAGCACTGATTCATGTATGACTGGCCGGCGATTCCGGTACTCAAAGCAAACTGAGCAGGTGAGGTGTTCTGAGCTGTAAGGAAACTCTGAAACAGATAATGCACCAAAACAAGCAATTCAAATTATCGTATAGCCTCTGGATTGTATTTTCTAGGACAAAACTAGGACCTTCTCTATGGATAATACCACGCACAGCTGACACAACTTCCAAAGGTATGCATTGAGTGATGCCGTGACTTCCACTTACTGTCCAAGGGCAAGCCAGCTGTGCTTAATGTGGTGTTGTCAAATGCCGCAACGGTATACTCTAAGCAGCCGGACACCTTCTGGACGCTGGGTAAGGGAAGAACACGTATCTGCTGGCCAGCAAAAATGGGCATTCCGACACCTGGCTCGACACTACCATTCAGATTAGCTGATACATTCTGCCAAGCAGCCGTCGGAGTGAGTCTGTACTGTAGGATTGCAGCGAGATCAGCTGGAACAAGTACTACGGACAGGATGGTCACAGCACTCTCACTCTCGGCGTTACCATTGCTTATCTGCAAACAGAATGAGTTGAAAAGACACTGCCTGAGTATCCCACACAGTACAACTGCCATACCATGAAACCGCAAGAGTACGACGTTGGGAGTGAAAAACTGTTCGGTGTAAAAAAAAGGTGAAAGTTCGGTGTGATGCACTCGAAGCAACAAAGACTCACAATGATGCTATGTGGCTGGCATTCCTGCTAAGATTAACTCCATGCACTGTAACTACAAACAGGGCTGGCTGCAAGTCAAACCATAGTAATGTGGACCTTGACCAAATTCTACCCCATCATCAACCCAGCCTACCCGGCATAGCCTAAGAGAATGATCAAGCACAAGTCGACGGCTGAAAAGTCTGTCTCACCGAGAGCTGCTGGAGGATGCTATCAACATCTGTAGGCTGTGGACTGGAATCGTTGATTGGTAAATACGCCTCGGTGATGTTGCCCATAGGACACATACTGGCATTGAGATGTAGAGTAGGCCGCCTGGTGACAATTCCCAGCGTCAGATCGGAGTAGACGGAAGCACTGGCTCTGCCGAATGGCCAATCACTTACGTCAGATTTGATGGTCACGAGCCTGGGACAAACGTGCAAACAGACAGAATTACAAAACATAATGGCAACCTGTGTACAATATCACCCACCAGCACCACTCACCGACCCACTGTTGATCCCCAGAACCTGATGAAATAAATTATTTCATCATCGGGCTTGTGCTTCGCGATCTAAAACAAGCAATCTAATATCTTATGCCGTACGTGTAAATATGTCAGGAGAGACCAAAGCAGCCATGCCCTCTCCTACCTCAATATGTGTGAATTTCTTTCCCAATCCCATGTCACAACACAGGAGAGCTCCTCGTACAGGAATGCGTGTATGCTCAATTCAATGTGGAAAGCCAGCTGAGATTTCACCGAGAATGGCACTTACTCGGTGCTTGAAAACTGACTGCATACAATCACCTCGCGCATCAGTGCCTCGGCTTGACTGAATGTTACAGGAGATGTACCAACAGAGAAGGTGAGCGTAGCTGTTGCATTTCCCTGTATAGTTCCTAGATCCACCAGCAAGCTGGACAGTAGCAGGAGTTGGATGCTGTTTGCCGGGTTGCAAGCAACTGCACATGGTGTACCATTGCGATGCCGAACTGAAATGCTGAAACTGCCCAAGAAGTCCGTATCTCCGCTTTGCAGCGTGTAGTTCTGACCTAGCACACTGGTGCATCCAGCTACAATGGATCGAACTCTGTAGAATGAAGACAAAGCACAGTGTGGACAGGGGTATGGTGTACAATCATGTACACACCGCTGCAGCAGCTACCAGCATGTGTACGTACTTGAAGTACTATTATATGTGTGGTCTAGTTAGAGTTGTGAGGGGTGGGGGGACTGTTCACGAGATCAAGCTAATGAATGACATGACCTATATGGCGTAGATAACCTAAATATAGTAGTAACAAGACAGCAATGAGGATCAAAACAGTGCTTCCATAGTAGATACAGCAAACACGATCACCGGAAGGATGAAACCAACCCTTGAGATGGGGTCTGGCGGGCAATGGAGGGTTCATTCTCCACATTGATCGTGACTCTGAAGCTATCCTCGAGAACTCCATCAGAGACGGTGCAGGTCACTAGAACGGTGAGCTGGCCAGAAGTCTCTCTTTCATTGTTCGTGTACGTCATCGTGCGTAGGACCTGTGATCAAGTGAAAAAAGGAATTCCAACACCACAGTGCACACATTGTCAGATCTCTGTTCAGTAAGCACTTCAACACAGCGGGACACTGCATTGTAAGAAAACGGGGAACAAGAACAAGAACCGAATGCTTCCCTATAGCTATTGGACAAGCAGTGCATGTAACCACTTCGGGGCAACCTACATCATCCCCTGATCCAACGTGTGTGTGTGTGTGTGTGTGTGTGTCTGTGTGTGTGCGTGTGTGTGTCTGTGTGTGTGTGTGTGTATGTGTGAGAGAGAGAGAGTGTGTGTGTGTGCGTGTGTGTGCGTGGGGGGGGGGGTGTTTGGGTGTGGGTGTAAACGTGCACTGGCTGCTGCTTGGTGCCTCGGTGGAAGTGCGTGGCAGTGTCAAGTCGTTCAGGCACACGGGCACACCATGCGGGAAATAGCAACATCCAGCAACGTCTCATATTTTTGGATGACCAAAAATAATGAACCTAGAGCTCCATTGTGAAAGTTAATGCGTATCATCAGTGATATCTTGTTGGCAGGCTCAACAACATAATACACTGTCTTGGCACGTGGCTTGTTTCCGCACTAGAAAACGTATGTGCATCACATAACACTACGGTATCAAGCTTGAAAACCTAACAGGTGTCAAGGCGCCTGGAAATACAGAGGAGAGGGAGAGTACTAGGTTACCTTTTCATACTCTTGTACGTTGGAACTATTCGTGAGCCGGTAGGTGATTACGTCGTCCGTGCCTGAAAACACATCAATAGCTACACCAGTAGTTCCTGTGTCAAATGAAAGAAACTCCAGACCCTCAGCGGTAGACACGGCGTTGGACAGAATGCAGGTAATAGAGGGATCTGGACCATCTACGTCAGACACTGTAGCGTCAGCGCCAATTGCTAGCGGAACCCCATCTTCGAACCTTCTGGTGACGTATGTTCTGGATATTGAGGATGCACCAGGGGCCTGTAAAAAAAACAGAGGATACGAAGATCCGAGAACGCAGTAAAAAAGAACGAGAGAACAATCGAAAACCATGGAATGGACTCGCAGAAATTCTATTTTCGAAGGAATGAAAAATTGGCGTGCCTTAAACCCAGTCGACCATTACAGTTATACAAAGCTCAATGTACAACCTGTGAAAGAGGTCATAGAAGAGAAGGGGAGAGAGAAAGAATCCCAGTTGCTGATCATGATCTCACTCACTGCAAATATCTGTGGTGGGTCGTTGAATCCAGTGATGCAGACATTGAATTGGACAGCATTGGAACTCGCGTTGTGACTGTCGTACACCACGACATCTAGCACGCGGTTGCCGGTGTTCAAGCCTCGATCCTCGTTGTCAAACAGTACGCCAAAGTCATGTTCCACGCCAGGTATGGATCGTGGAGGATCAAAGACAGCCATCAGCTGCCCGGCAGTTCCGTTGTACATCAATGATGCCGTGCCACTGTAAATGAACGGTGAAGTAAAGCTCAGTACGTCGTTTTTGTGGTGGTTTCGTGATACAGTCACTAGGATCATTGAAATACCATCAAACTCGGGATCATAGATGGCTGTAGCATTTGATGGTATCACGATGACCGGTCCCGCGCCAGGCTTCGGACCCTCTGTAAAATTCGCACACGACTGCGAAGCATTCACATGCCTGATTCTCGGTTCATCGTTCACAGGCTGAATGTTAATAGTCACAGTTTGGCCAATCGAGGATGCCAGGCCACCACCACTGCTGTTGCTGCAGCTGGATGAGTCCAGAATGCGGACATCCTGCCAAAAAGCACATGCGAGAAGGAGTTTTGATTAATCACAAGTACACCAAGACTACACCAAGATGGGTGATACTGTTTGGCTAGGAATATTCAGAGCATGGGTCTAGCCCGGGGAGCACCATAGTGGATGTGGTTCATAGCCACCACTCTACATACTACATGTCTGCAGGTATCTGCTTACTGAAGGTGACTACTATTGAGTAATGAAATTTGCCAAATTGTTTGACTCCCAGGTTTACCAGGAATCCGTCGGGCTGTTCCCTGCCCCTGCAGAGGTAACACTTAATGATAACAAAGGAGCGAATGCAATGCATATCCCCCCCCCCCCCCTCCCAACTTCGAACTCACCAGTATACAATGCATGCACCTACTCTCCGGGCCTATTATCAGACAGCAGTTGCCAGCACTAGTAGTTGAAATACAACTTGTCGTTCAGCAGCTCGCCTACAACTCCAAAAAATTATGGACATGTGTTCTTACGAATTTGTTTGTACACGGATATGCACACGTGTATACACCGTTAATTCAACTGCACTTTACAGCTTACTTGCAGTGTGATGGGCTCTGTGGGATTGTCATCCTGCGTCTCCAGCACCAGTCTTCCAAGCAGATCCTACACAGCAGTAGTGTGGAACAGGCATAGTGGTGAGTATAGAGAGAGGGGCACCAAGGCATCGCTTCACATGCAGGCAGCCAGTAAAGACAGTCAGTATTACAGTTTTAATGGCCGAAGACTCTGGCAGTGTGCTTGCATCACACTTTCCAGCAGTGTAAAAGGAAATTTCAAGTGTTTGCTCTGCTTTATTACACAATCTGCCTCCAACCGACACATGATAGTTTTCAGCTATAGAGGATTCCAGATTCACAGATAATTATAATGTTAGTGCTAATGTCACGTCCCAGAATAAGACAACTGCTGCCTGATAGTCCTGTGACAGCAGGATCTACATAGTGAGCAGCTCTGTGCTGAGCTGTCACGCCCTTTTAGTACAACGTGGTTTGGCCAGTGTCTTGTCCCACGTGCTTAGCATGTAGGTTGAGCGACACGCGCTTTCCCACGTAGGTGACATGCCTTCTTGGCATGACACATCATGTGATCCAAGGCCGGAACCTGGTCAGGTAGGTTCTCGCGTTGTACGTTTCCTGGAAGTGCTTCACTTCCTGGAAATGCGACTCCAGGCTTTGTGCAAAACCACGTCACTACGACGTTCTACAGGTTTCCACGATGCCTCGGCGCTTCGTGCAAAGAGCCAAGACTAATATGACATTGTATATCAAGAGCTAATTGCAAGGCAGGAGACGTGTGCAAGAACCAAAACCGTCACCGCGCAAGAGGTCAGAGTATCACGCAAGCAAGACCAAGAATGCAGCAGAACTTACCATAAGAAGCCGCTGAACTATGGCACGTTGGGTGAGCGGGCTCCCCAACGTGACCCTCATATACTCACATTGTACTCTGACGTGGGTGAGCGGGCTCCCCACGTCCCAATTTGGTCTTTCTCCTCCCGATGTCTTTCTTTCTCTTTCTTCTCGAATGATCACCGTACGTATATTCTGCATTTCTGCTGACTGGCTGCGCACATTCTGGTTTGACTTGTTCTGCTATTTCCTGGAATTACCTCGCCATGATCACGCCATTATATCTCTGAAGCACCCTATAAAAGAAGCTCTCATTCTCTCTTTTACTTCAGTTCTAGTCTAGTCTAGTCTAGTCTAGTCTAGCAGTCGAGACTCGGTCTCAGCTCTCTGTCTTCGTTTACTTTGAGCTCGGATTTGATACTACTCACAACGTAAAACTAACAGTCTCTGTCTGTTGATCGTGTGGGGTTGAACTTGGACCAAGCCAGCTATATTGGTTGGCCCCTGGGTTGTGTTGGGCTTGTCGTGAGGCCACACGTCTATATTCAGTCGCCGCTCGTAGTGATTTCGGGGTCCGGTCACTCTGAGCCAGGGACGCGACACTAAGTTACTGCTAACGGTCCAGAACTGGAAAAAAACAAGAGGCCGGGCACGTGGCTAAAAAAAGGTATCCTTCTTGAAGTAAAGTACATGTCTTAGTGCATTGATAAGCGCAGCAGTCGTCCTCACTGCACATGTTTGTCGTGACCAGCACGGACAAAGTTAAGCAGCAAAGACAACTAAAATTGGAGCACTTTACCGAACGAGGCGCTAGTGTCAACTCTCGACCCAACAGTTGCACCAAATCAAATACAGAAAGTCTGTGAGAACGTCATCGAATGTGTGCATCTGAGCTCATGTACGAGTATGCGCATCCATATATCGGAGTGCGTGTGTGAGTATGCGCTTGTACCTCTGTTTGACTGATGTTGAGGGGTGATGTGAAGTTGACCTAAGAGAGAAGACACACAGCACACAATGGAAAAAGGTGGTTTGATTCCTGCACAGTGTCAGTGAAAGGATACCATATCTCATATTTATAAATGTGTTCATATTTTGCTGACGTCTGGGATGAGCATGGTACATGATAGGTCTAGCTATAATTAATTAGCTGAAAGCACAATGCACTTCTGCAGTTTGCCTACCCACCCACTTTAGCATCAGGCCCCTTGAACTCTAGTCTTCGTTCTGGCCCTTTACCACTGTCACAGATAACACACCCGTGTGACAGGTGCAGTGGTGACTGGAGATGTGCTTTGAGTTACCTGTTGAGTGTCGGAATGAATGCATTTACTTTGCCTCAGTATCAACAATATGCACATTGCCCTCAGCAGGCAGAGAAAGGGCATCATAGCATGTCACAATGACTGTGTATGTGCCGGATGCTGCCTGGTAGTAAACATCAACTGGAAGTGGCCGATGCAATGGTAATCAAATTCTTTATGGCTGTGGCCAGTCAAACAGGATGTACAACGGCAACTGCATGCAGTATGGAGATGCAACGGGAACTGGTGATGCAAGAACTGGTGTCCACTGTGTTACAATATGCACTTGTGAAGATTCCAAATCCGGTCGTAAAGGAGTTGTCTTAAAAGGAGTGCTATCCTCAACACTCCTGAAAAGTAGTGGTGGTGGCGGGGGCGGGAGCACCGGTGGCCTCGGTGGTGATGGCTGTGTACCTCACTGGCTTAAACCAACCAAACCTGTGCCTGGAGATAGAGCAAAAACATGTCAGTAACACGACTGTAACTCACTGTGACAGTCCCATCCAGCTGCTGTACATCAATAAATGCAGGTGTTGTAACCTAGGAATATAGCCAAATAGTATAGACCAACATGCGCATAGGTCACACGCACACGCACACACACACACACACACACACACACACACACACACACACACACACACACACACACACACACACACAAACACAAACACACACAAACACAAACACAAACACAAACAGAAATGCATGAATGCATGCACATACACACAAACACATATGCATAGGCCCAGAAATACACACGCACATACATGTACACAAATGCGTGCACACACGCACGCACGCACGCACACACACACACACATGCACACGCACACACATACACACACACACAGCGGAAGTCTTGAAAAATAAGGAGAGAGAAGAGAGACCCGTTGGGGCAGACAGGGCAAGCTAATGGAAGGAGAGCAGTGCAGGAGATCAAGCTAATGGAAGGAGAGCAGTGCAGGAGATCAAGCTAATGGAAGGAGAGCAGTGCAGGAGATGGAGGCAGACTGATGGGCGGGTAGGCAGACTGACTAACGGACAGACTGGTGGACTGGTGGAAGGAGGGACAGGCGTATGGACAGACAGGTGGACAGACCAATGTACAGACAGCCAGACGGGTGGGCAGTCGGTGGACGGACAAGCGGGTGGAGAGATGGACGGGCGGATGGACAAGCAGATAAAGTTACATAGTCAAATATTAGTAATGTCTACTTTTGGATATGTCATGGGACGGTAGCTCCTTGTACAAAAGAATCCCAGGGGTAAATTACTGTTCATCTGAGGTAGGAAAGAGAAAGCTATTACGATGTAAAAAGGACCAAGAAACTACAAGCTACACTATAATGTCTACTAACACCACCAGTTACTAAACAATCAGCTCATGCGATAACATTTTTATAATTTGTTATAAATAATCCTTGGCTCTCCATCCGAGTTAATTATTACGATAATATACTTAGTAAAGGAAGCCATAAGATGTTGAATAAATAAATGAAAGACCCCACCATCCTACGTTTCCACTGTAACAACAGAAGAAGAAGGCAGACCATTTTCCTCCTGCTGTTCCCGTATGGGGATATCGCTTTCGGATTATTGGAACCCGGTCAAGTCTGTGTAGATAGGGACGTCTGAAGATGGAATCGTGATGAGTCACTCGCCTCACCACTGGAATTATTCAAGCCCAGGAGATTTACCTGAGGCTCATATCATATTCATCTTATAAGTGATAAAACAGTAGATGAATTGCTCTCTTGTAAGTCCTGGCAGAGAAACAGCAACGAAAAAAAATAATGAAAAAACCACAGACACCTGATTAGCTTACATTATCCAAAAAGTAGAACTCGGTCTTCGCATTGCCAAGAGCACGTTCCGGATGCTGCACCCTGAAGGTGAGAGCAATGAAACACTGCGGTGCACAGGGCTCTACATTGTCGCCGTCTAAGATTCCGACACCGCCAAACACTCTTCCAGCACTGTTCTCCTGTATAGGCAGCGGAGGTGATACTACAGTCAGCTGGGGTTCATGATCATTTCTCCGCTCCAGTGAAATTAAATTTGTTATTGTTGCAGAAGACTTCACATCCCTGCAGAGAACACAAGAGTACTTCGACAGTTCAACCAACGCATTTCATGTGTGCCGTTTGGCATGTACATGTGCAGAACCGAATGTACAGTCTCGCAAACCAAAAACAGCTGCAATTTCTACTGTATTTGCTAAAGTACAGTGCTTTCCTTGGATGCACTATATGCATATACTATAGTGCAGATTTATAACACACCGGGTGTGCTCTGGATACCGTAGATATGATTTGTATGCTATCAAATGTACCAGGGGTGTCCACACTTTGCTCAGAAAGGGGTGTCCACACTTTACTCAGAAAGGGGTGTCCACACTTTGCTCAGAAAGGGGTTTCCACACTTTGCTCAGAAAGGGGTGTCCACACTTTGCTCAGAAAGGGGTGTCTACACTTTGCTCAGAAAGGGGTGTCCACACTTTGCTCAGAAAGGGGTGTCCACACTTTGCTCAGAAAGGGGTGCATATATTACGGTAAATACATGTACAATACCTTCCACCCGGCAAAGGTGACAAGCCCACTCTCGCAATAATTATATAATTATCAAAAGTGTAAATAATCTACGTGGAGATAATAATTTTAATATAGCTATGAATAGGATGAAGGCCGCAAACATCACGCAACTACGTTACTTGTTTGACATGTATTTACTGTGTATTTTATAACAAAAATATTATTGAAAACCCATAATCGATTTTCTTGTTCCTATCATCAGTGGGAAAAATACGGAACAAAGGATACAACCAAAGAAACTGAAGTTAAGTACTGTAAATAGAAAGGTGTTAGAAATAACAAGAAGATACACGTGCAATAAAACCACTAGAGGAAACGCAAAAAGGTAACAAGATTACGTAACCAAAGGCGAGAAGGCACTAAACGAAGTGTCAACCTACGAATACAACTTCAGTGCAACAACGTGCTCCTTCTGCTTACACAAAACAGGCTTATGAATACGTATATGTAGGACTCAGTATAGAGTCCATGCACTATATGATGTCCAGTACCCTATATAGAGTCCATTGGTCCAAAATCCACTATACAGAGTCCAGGAGTCCACTCAGTTTTGATCAGCTTCATCCTGCCGCGCAATCCCCTATAAGGAGTACACTTTTTCTACAAGTCCCCTATTCACGGTCCATCAGGAGTCCAGTTTATCCAGTCACGCCGTCCTGTGTGTTGTGCCCGAAAGAGAACATATTTTCAGTTTTGCTTGCCTCGTGGCAGCGCATTCCTTTCTTCACTTCAGCCATGGCTGCCAATTCTGCTGTGCAGTTGCTGACAGTAATCGGTCTCGAGCTAACCAAGGAGGATAAGGAGACGTTCAAAATCAAATCTGGAAAGCGTCTTGTGGTTCTCTGAAGACGTTTCATCAGTGCGCGGGATGAAAGCAGAAATTGCAGAACGAGAAAAGTTCAGCACAGTTCAAATCTGACGAGTCAGGTACACTGACGCTCTCTTTCGTTCGACGCCACAAGGATCCCCTGTTTGGCTGGCCATTGCTGCCAGTAAGACGTTTGAACGGTTTCATCAGAGCGAGGGATGAAAGCAGAAAGCGGAGAAAGAGAAAAGATCAGCACAGCTGCAATCTGACGAGTCAGATACACTGACACTCTCTTTCGTTCGACGCCACAAGGATACCCCTGTTTGACTGGACAAGAGCTGCCTGTACCACCGTGTCAAAAGGCTGTCCAACTACATGGCAGGACGATGACTGAGGTAAGGAAGCTTTTACTCGTTTCGATTGGTCTGCTGTTCTGTCGTTATGCTTGAATTTTTTTTCCATTTTCAAGGAGCGTATCGCGTTTGTTTGATGTTGCTTGAATGAATGCCCTAAAAGTAATCAACCACTTCGTCCTCAAGGACTGCAAGGACTTTGCATCAATCGTATATGATCGTCTAGCTATCATCAATTATTATTTTATTTCATGAGAAATGTATTTTTATCCCTGTGATAATTATGTGAACTCCACGACACTCTTCCTGTAGTATGATGTCAAATACAATGGGATCCACAAACGCAGTGCCAGTGTACTAGTAGTAGTAGGACTAGGAGGATTGCTTGTATGCCAATGACAAGAAAAAGCTTCTCAAGCTAATACTCGTATTCCCTGAAGTAACCGTTTTGATGTCACGAACATGACATTGTGTCAGTGAAACTGCCTCGTGACAACAAATCATTGCATTTCCATCTTGGGGAAGACTGACTGACAGCAACGCTGTACAGATTGTTCAAAATCATCTCATTTCAATTTAGTTGCAGTGAAGTGAAACACTGTGTACACTACATGTATGTTGGTGTGTCTGTGCGTCTTGAGTGTGCACAAACGATCTTATTCCTCGTATTACTAATAGATTATTGTCCCCACCATCACCTGTTCACAGGTCTTTGAGTGGATTGATTTTCATTGAGCATCACATTCGTTGAGAACTAGGTAGTTGTGTGCTCCCATGCATCATTACGGTAATAAGCGTATCCTTGTGCTATTTATTTGTTGCAGGTGTGCTGATCTTCAGAAGCTTGCGGAACTGAGTGCTGCTGAACATTTGCATGGCCATGAGCAATGGTGAAGCTTGCTATTGCACTCTCAGCATGTGCTAGTATTATGCTGACCACTGCACTATGTTACTCTCTTACACTACTACGTGTATGTAAACGTGCGTGTACCCGTCCCCGTACGCATTCGTTTCGTATAATTATTTGTTATCCCTCTTGACTTTCATGTAAATGGGTGGACGTTTGCATGGCTGTTGGAGTTGCGTGTGTATTGTGTCTCTACTCTTTTCTTGGTGTTTTCTTGGCCTTGTATAAGTTTGTGTGTGTGTGTGTGTGTGTGTGTGTGTGTGTGTGTGCGCGCGCGCGCACAATAATTTGAAAACAAATAATTAATCCTGGGCTCTCCATTGTTCTCTTTCGATTCTTGGTTTTTTTTCTAGGTATTTTCTTGGCATTGTGTGGGTGTGTGCATGTGTGTGTGCGTGCACAATAATTTGGCAACACTACATCAGTACATGATTGAGATATTGTAATTTGCAGCGTCTGCGAAGAGACCACTTGATTTGAGGATGGTGTTTGTAGGGTTTTTCATGTAATGAAGTGGCTGCAGTGGCGCCTCAATACATATTTTTTTATCTTGAGAAGTGAATGATGTAAAGGATTAAAGGGAGAGGCCGTTTTCTGGTTAATATTCACTGCTTACAGCAGATCCTATGTCTATTTTCGAACTCGATAGGGGGATGCCTAATTGGCTGGACTTTATACAGGGGGTGTTGTCCACATAAAGACTCTTTATAGTTGATTTCAAAGTTTGGACTCCGTACAGTTGATTTTGGACCAATGGACTCTATATAGGGGTGAAGCCAATTGGCTGGACTCTATACAGGGAGTGATGTCCATCGAAACTTTGAGCTCACAGTTGATTCTAAGTTTGGACTCTGTACAGTGGATTTTGGACCAATGGACTCTATATAGGGGTTGGACATCATATAGGGGCTGGACGCTCTACTGAGTCCAACATATACAAACTGCCTCAAGGACTTTCAACTGTTGGACATAACGCGCACGACACAGTACATGACACAGTACGCTGCCACCAGCGAATTTCAGTAGTTGCGTGATGTCTGCGGCCTTCATCCTATTCATAGATTTATTAATATCAAAAGTGTCTTTCCTATTCAAGGACAATGTTCCTATGTGTAGCGCATTGCTGCCACCGGCGAATTTCAGCTCAGCCGCTCACCGTGCTCATCTTCTGGTCTTGCTCTACAACCTGCAAACAGTTCAGCCTCTTTCATCATGTATCGACCTGCAAGAACTCGGGCGGATGCTTTTCACTCAATGAAGCTAGCAGCGCAGGCAAATGTGTACTCTGGGTCGGATTTCACCCAGCGCAACTGCAGTATTCGGGTTCATGCTAGCAGGACAACATTTACATTTAATACACTACTTGTTTGCAGTATGGAGGAAGAGAGTAGGCAACCTGATGGTGGTAAATAGAGCACATTATGTTGCTTACGGTGCTGCTTGATTGGTGTTGATAGAAAAGGGAGTGACTTCAACAAGAAGACCTCTTGAGCTGCTGCAGTTGAATTCATCAGCCGTATGTTGATACATGATCACAGATGAGTTAACGAGCTCAGAATCCGTGATGCGAAGAGGTGGTGTCCAGCGAATGACAAATGCTGTTGGATGAATGGACGTCACTTGTCCGCTGGTTGTGCCTGTTTGACTCATAAGTCCCTCCAAATGTGCATCATTGTTATTGCCAATGAGGCTGTATTGTACTTGCGAAATATCATAGAAACTGGCATACAAGCACAAAATAAGCAATGAAACCTTGCTCCTGTTAATAATGAAAAGAAAATTATTACGCTGAAAACAAATGTGTTACTTAAAAGTAAAATTGCAGACATAAGTACACGCGTGTCTATTGAAAGCAATACATCAACTTCTTGGAACGTTGTATTCACTTTGATCCTTTAATCCCCCCGAAATCAGAGCTGTGTTCAATTAAATGCTGGTAAAGGCACTAAACACTTGAGAAAAAACATCATATCAACACCACCAAACACCAATCCTGAACACCGCCTCTGAAGCACCAGACCAATATTGTTACATATCCATTCAGATCTTATCTACAGATTGGCTTTCGGTGCATGAAGGGATGCTCCCCCCCCCCCCCCCCCCTCTCTAGCTAGCTAAAGAGAGGTTTGAGTGCGCAGACAAAGTGTTTCACACGGTGTTGTTGGTCTTACGTTTCTACGGTATGCAGGCTGACGATGGTCGGCGTGGATACTACCGGTGCTCCATTCTCTGTGAATGCGTAATGTCTTGAAGAATTGAGAGTTATGATCTGGAGAGAAGCAGAGTTCAACCAGACACACATCCTCATAAATTGGACAAGGTATCAGAAACAGGTGTGCCATGTTCCGCAAGCATGGGAATGCAAATTATATTTTAAACGCCTTGCTTACAGCAGCACAAAAGCTGTGCATTGCTATTTCAGTAGCATTTACATGTGGTTCCCTTGTGTAAATATATCTTTTCTAGTGTAGTTAGAACAACTAGAGAACAAAATGTTGATTTTTGTTGGAGAGAAACAAACCAACACACGCAGCATAGGAGCCGTGATATAGTATAGACTACTGTAGGCCTTTCCGTGCTATGAAAAGGCCTAGTTGAATCTATATGGCTTCTGTGCTGTGTGAACTAGAATACTGTTCATATTTCTGAATCCCTTACCGGTGGCTCCTCGGGGACCGGGATCAGCATCACCTCAGCATTGCCTTGTAAAGATAAATTAAGGTGTACATTGTGCAGTGTGCAGGAGACGCTGCGTTGCAGTGGATCACCACTGGGAAATTCATTCTCCGCTGTCATGCGGATGGCTACCCTATTACAAAAAGAGGAGCCAACAACACATACCTGGCATGATTATCATGTCACGTTTTCACGACAGTACAGACCAACTAAAAATTTTAATTTTCCCAGTGGTACTGCAAGAACAGAAAAGATGTCGATGCCACCTGACTAAGAACAAGTTGCGGCAGCTCGAGAGAGTGCTTGGTGCACCTACGAGTAGACTCGTAGGTGCAGAGCCTTATACAGATAAATAGAAGGAGAAAACAAAGCGTTATTTACTCGGAGTTTCATGCGGTAGCAATCATGATTCCACCTGGCTGCATGGTGCATCTGCCGTGGCACTCATTTATGTTGTACATTTGCAGAAATGCATATAATACCTCTGTGGTAGTCCCACTGAACTGTATAATATAATAATGTGTATGATTCATGATGTAATGTATGTTTGGTCTCAGTCGATGATAAGCTTTCAGTAAACTAGAAGCATAGGACATGTACTCTGTTCTTGCTGTACACATTCTCCCCATACTCGGCGGCATGCCCGGAGTAGTGCCATGTGTTGGACCCGTGACGTAGGTCCCATGTGATACTTGTTTTAGCTACATTGGACATATTTGCGCATGCTTGCGCAAGGTCGAGGAGATCGAGAGAGAGAGAGAGAGAGCCCGAGAATGGCGGCCAGATCCATATGGTCCTGATTATTATTATCCATAACCAATTCCTTGTATTTATTCTTATTGCATGTATTGACTATCCCTTTACTTGATTGAACCGTGTTGGCTGGTGTGATTGACGAGTTGACTAAAACAACCTCTGCCACAGCGTAGAGGGGCAAGTGAAACCCAGCCTCATTAGAACAACAGCGTTGGCGGCTGCACGACGCTAGCATGAAAAGTAATGCGCTGCTTAGTACTAAAGTGCCTGTTCCTCCTGTACCAATCCTGACCATCTACAACATGCGAGCCACAGTAACAAAATGAATACTATCAATCTCAAACTTACATCAATGAGTTGAGTACAGTTTCATACACCTCTACACTTGCTTCGCCAGTAATATGCCTGTGAGGTGACGACAAGTCACCCACAAGACCATCGGGGATGCCATCCTGAACTTCGACCACCATGTCAGGATCGGCAACAATCTAAGCACACAGGACAATGCGCACAGTTCACAGTAGTACAGTTGCGCTCTATGAAATCTGAGCCAAAAACGCCAAAACTGGCGCCTTGGCCTGTTGGACCAGTTCCAATTACATCACTGCATTAATTTTGTACATGCGCCCTGCCGCATTCGTACCACTTTCAGGGTGTCAAGGGCATTGCAAGTTGAAGGCACCAACTATGTACTTTGCATTGGATTTCACCAAGCGCAACTGTCTGTACACAGGACAACACATAGCTGCTCAACGTAGCAAGTACCATCCTATATAACCATACTTGTATTGAGCACAACATATGTGTGTCAACACTAAGAAGAAGAAAATCTCCAGTCGCATTCGTGTTGAACTAGGTGTACTGCATACTTCGACACACGTAGTAATAGTGGTAGGGATTTTGGCGATAACTTTCTAAGGAAGTTGGTTGCTCTCCATACTGGAACTTGTCAGTCAAGTGTCAAGTCAAGCCAGCAAGAAAAGCACAAGGTCCAGTGTGGGGAGCGCCTAACTTCCCTATTGGACATACCAGGGGGCGTCGGAACCGGTGCGGCTGGTGAGGCCAAAGCCGCACCAATAATTTCATCTTGGGATTTTTTGAAGCAATGGGCTTTTTGGGCCCAATTTCTCTAAAAAACTCCCAGGGGAGGATCCCGGACCCTCCGTCCATCCATACATGGCCGCACGAATGTTGAATACCTTCCGACGCCCCTGCATACTTAGGCAGGGAAATATGATGTTCATATCTATGCCTACATGTACCCAATGCTGTAGACAGCAAGCTGTTTCAGCCATGTAGGCCTCATCAGTACAGCTGCGAGCTTTAAATAAGCCGAGCTACCGGCGATGGTGCGAAGGAGGCACCATAGACATTAAGCTTACATGTATGTACTAGCTACATGCAAATAGGAATCAGGATTAGAACTCTCTCAGAATGTGTACGTCAGCCTGTTGCAATGGGGCACCGGAACATCGTCTCCTTCCACGTGTACGCGTGTATAGCGACTAGTGGTGTGCACGGTTAGTCGGGTACCCGTGCTACCCGTGAGGACCTCGGGTAGACGGGTAGAGGATAGTACGCGAAACCCCGAAGTTGTTAAGTCGCAGATGACATCATGTACAGTGCAAGTGTACATGATCTGTCGTGATGCACTGTACCCACTGCACTGTACTCACTGCACTGTGACTGTGACTGTGCTGCATGCACATGATCTATCATACTGCACTGTACGCACTGTATGCACTGTATGCACTGTATGCACTGTACGAACTGTATGCACTGTATGCACTGTATGCACTGTATGCACTGTACGCACTGCATGCACTGTACGCACTGTACGCACTGTATGCACTGTATGCACTGTACGCACTGTATGCACTGTACGCAGCGACACTGGAGGCGCTCGTCGCATGCAGATTAATAGCCCTTGACAAATCGCCGGGTGTTCGACCCATTGGTATCGGCGAAGTGGCCAGGCGCATTGTCGGCAAAGCCATCCTCACTGTCACCGGGAGAGATATCCAAGATGCAGCGGGCACCCTTCAACTGTGTGCCGGTCAGGAGTGCGGCATTGAAGCTGCCATCCATGCGATGCAAGATGTCTACCGTGAGGAGGATGCGGATGCCATATTGCTCGCCGACGCTTCGAACGCCTTCAACCGGCTTAACCGTGAAGCCTGCCTACGGAACATCCGTCACCTTTGTCCCTCTATAGCGCCAGCTGTAATCAACACCTACCGCCAACCATCCCGCCTATTCGTTGATGGAGAGTGCTTGCTATCGTGCGAGGGTACCACACAGGGTGACCCTCTGGCCATGCCCGTATATGCGCTTGGAGTCCTCCCGCTCATCAAGAAAGTTGCAGTGCCTGGTGCGAAACAGGGCTGGTATGCGGACGATGCTGCAGCCGGTGGCAAGCTAACGCCTGTTCGCCAATGGTGGGACAATCTCGTCAGCCAGGGTCCTGGGTATGGCTACCACTGCAATGCCCAGAAGTCACTCCTCCTGGTCAAGCCCTCCAGGTACGCAGCTGCTATCGAGATGTTCGAGGGGACCGGTGTGCAGGTCACGTGTGATAGTTGCCGCCACCTTGGTGCACCTTTGGGCACGGATGAGTTTATAGAACAATTTGTCCAGTCCAAGGTCGCCACCTGGTGTGAGGAAGTTGCGCAGCTCACGACCATCGCTGCATCGCAGCCACAGGCCGCCTACTCCGCCTTCACACAGGGCCTGCAAAACAAGTGGTCCTTCCTCTGCCGGACCTCCTCCATCCCGCCATCCTTGCTTGAACCGCTGGAACACGCAATCAGCGGTCGGCTCATCCCGGCCATCACGGGTCAGGCTCCACCTGGGACAACTGTTCGCTCCCTACTCTCTCTGCCTTGCCGGCTTGGGGGACTGGGTATGGCAGACCCTTGTTCAGTGGCTGAACAGTACACCTCATCCCGAAGGATCACGGCTAGCCTCGTGTCTCGCCTGCTGGAGCGGGAGTCGTCTCTTGGCGACTCTCTGACTCAGCTCCGGACGGTCAAGGCGACGGTTCGGGCCGAGAAGCGGAGCGCGTTCAAGTCTATGGCTGACGCTCTTCGCTCGGATCACCGGGAGCTGGCCCCTGTTCTCGACCTGGCCTCAGAAAAGGGTGCATCCAGCTGGCTGACCTGCCGCCCCCTCAGCCGCCATGGTTTCACACTCAGCAAGGGAGATTTCCGGGATGGCCTGTGCCTCCGGTACGGCTGGACACCTCCTCGGCTCCCAAGCCTCTGCGTGTGCAGTAAGCCGCTGAATGTGAGTCACGCCCTGTCGTGCCCGTTTGGTGGCTTCCCGACGCTGCGACACAACGAGGTGAGGGACATCACCACCAGAGCTCTGAGGCAGGTCGCTCACAACGTGACAGTGGAACCCCACCTCCAGCCCGTCACCGGAGAGGCCTTCCGCCATCGCACAGCTGTCACGGAGGAGCAAGCTCGGCTGGACGTTGCGGCTAGTGGTGTGTGGGGTGGCCGATTCGAGCGCATCTTTATTGATGTACGGGTGTTCAACCCTTTTGCGTCTTCGAATCGTGCCACCTCCCTCGCTGCTAGCTACAGACGCCATGAACAGGAAAAGCGCCGGAAGTACGAGGAGCGAGTACGTGAAGTTGAGCATGCCTCCTTCGTGCCCGTTGTGCTCTCTGCCTCTGGTGGCTATGGCAAGCATGCCAATGCTCTTTTCACGCGGATCGCCTCTCTCCTGGCTGAGAAGAGTAAGGAGCCATACGGGCAGGTTATCTCCTTGCTGCGCTGCCGCCTTGGGTTTGCCCTGGTGCGTTGTGGTGCTATGTGCCTGCGTGGCTCAAGGAGCATGTTTGCTCCTGCCATGCCTGAGTCCCCTGCTGTGCTAGTGGCGGCGGAGGCACGCATCCAGTGAACCTGCACAGTGCAGTGATCCTACTGAGTGACAGACTCTGTAAATACTGTATATGATGATTCGTTTTTATATATGTGTTGATTCTTCACAAAATGTGTTATTTTGCCCGTACAAGAGGCTCAGTTTTCCGTGTGAAAAAAAAAACAAAAAACTGTATGCACTGTATGCACTGTGTGCACTGTATGCACTGTACGCACTGTACGCACTGTATGCACTGTACGCACTGTATGCACTGTATGCACTGTACGCACTGTACGCACTGTACGCACTGCATGCACTGTATGCACTGTATGCACTGTTGGCTCACTAGTCGGCTATCTCGCCGGTTCCAGTTTACCATCCACAAGGCTGGCTTCCGGGATGCCCTATGTCTGCGCTACGGCTAGACCCCTCCCCGGTTGCCGTCTCACTGCACCTGTGGAAAGCCCTTCGACACCACCCATGCCCTATCATGTGCCATCGGAGGATTCACTGGGATGCGCCACAACGAGCTCCGGGATCTAATCGCTAATCTGTTGCGTGAGGTTGCGCATGACGTCAGCGTGGAGCCAGAGTTGGAACCCCTCTCTGGTGAAACATTCCCTCTCCGGTCGGCCAACACGGAGGCTCATGCTCGTCTTGATGTGGCAGCACGTGGAGTGTATGGGAGTAGGTTAGAGGACAATGTTTGATGTTCGGGTGTTTAACCCTTTTTGTCCTCTCCAACCGAAACCTTACTCTCCCGTCTGTCTACAGAAAGCACGAGCAGGAGAAGAGGCGTAAGTATGAACGGCGAGTCCTGGAGGTGGAGCATTCCTCGTTTGTTCCCGTGGTTTTTGCAACCACTGGCGGCCAGGGGAAAGCTGCTTCGGCCCTCTTCGCCAGGATTGCCAGCAAGCTGTGTGAAAAGCGCCGTGAGCCTTTCCCGGTTATGATGGCTTTTGTACGGGCGAAGATCTCCTTTTGCCTTGTTCGGGCAATGGTTGCCAGTCTACGTGGTCACCGTCGGAACCCGCCTCGACATCTGTCTGGTTCGGCTGTGCTGGCGGCTGCTGAATGTGCCCTGGTGCCATAAACGGTGTACATGATACAGTACAGTTTCTTTGGTAATGGTGTTTCATTTACTTTTGTATTTTCAGTTCGTTTTCTTTGTATTTAACTCCTCATTGTTTTTTTACCAGGCGTGGGCCATCCCCTGACTTCATAGGTGCCAAACATTTTACGTTTTTCATTTCTATTTTGAGAGTTTAATAAAACTACCCTGTATGCACTGTACGCACTGTACGCACTGTATGCACACGTCCCAGTCGCGTTCCACGAAAAAAAGAAGTGAAGGCTGTGCATGTGGTGAGTCTCATGACAGCTCATGAACGTTTGTTCCAGCGTGTGTACGGTATGCATGCATATGTATGAAGGAAACGTTGCGAACACTAGCACTAGAAATAAAAGGAGCGTCACTTCAGCAAACGAAGGTCATGTAGCGAGTCGAGTAGGTCGTTGTCAAGTGCTTCGTATGTACACTGTAGGGGTGAAACGAGTGCCAAAATGGAGGACTCGAGTACTCGTTGAAAAAACGAGCGAGTATTCGAGCGAGTACGAGTAT